GTGTTTGTGGATTCTCATCTGTTACAAGGCGTCACAATTTGCTTACCACATCTGGGGGTACAACTTTTAATCCACGTTTCTTTGTTTTTTAATGCCTTTAAGTTCAAGAGAAAATCGAGTCTTGAAAATTGTAAATCAGCGACCTGGTCGCGTCTTTCTGAGTGTTTGGATATTTTGCGTCGCAAAGGGCTGTTCCACACCATTTCCAAAAGCGATAAATTTTTGGTGGAATCACACTACCTCAAAATGCCACACAATGTTTAAATGTAGTTTTGAAACATTCCGTCCCATCTCGACTTTATATATGTTGCAACTGTCTAGTAACTTGCTAATTTTATTGTTCATAAAAGTTTTAGTATAGCATACCCAACCCTCTCTAATTTCTTTTCTGTTCGAATTTCACTGTGCGGTGAATAAAAATAACCTGACGAATAACAGAACAGTAATTGTTTTCCTACATCAAGTCAGAAGTAACACCCACTTTCAATTTGTCATCGGATTACTATAAATTAGGGGCTTATGGGTAAACTTCGTTATAAGTGAGGGAAATTTTTTGGCAGTTAGCAATTAACATTTATTCGAAAATTTCTTTTCAATTTTAAGTCTTGTTTCTTTCCTCTTACAGTGTGGCTTAAATATAAGTTAATAGCTAGAAATCAGGATTTGATACCTGCGGTTGTCAAGGGGCTGATAGCTCATTGTGCAAGTTTATGCTAAAAACTAAATTAATAGTTTGTACAGTTTTCCTTTGGACGAGCAGTTCCGTTTAGAGATTTGTAAGTGATATTCTCCAAGTTCTCAACTAGGTGTGACTTTTTCGAATTTCATATTCTAGCAAATCAATCTTTTTTTGCTATTATTTCTTTTTCACTTTCATTGACGTGAGGTACACTATATCATGGCGTGAACGTAACGGCATGATTGGAATATGTACTTTCCAATCGCACCAGTTCGTATAGGCATGCAAATCTCAAATTGTGTGAAATCGAAGATCAATAACCGGAATTTTTCAAATCGTTATCTTCGTCTTTTACTTTGACCTTTAGTTAATCGTGACTTTTAAACTTCCATTGCAGTTATGACAACCAAATTAAAAAAATACTGCTACTACAGTTGCGGCAACCAGGGTAAAATTATTGGAGTTGTGGCTTATGGTGACAAAGGATAATGATTTAACATAATTAATCAGATTACAAATTATCCAAAATGTGATTTTAAATATTACTTTCATGGAGGATAAATTTCTAACGTATATCAGATTGTTTTGCTTCCATTTTTTTATGTCCAAAACGAGTATATTGTTTAATTTAATGCAGGGCAATTTATATTTATTGTGTCTTTAGATAAAATTAAATCATTGGTAATTGCTCTATTGCATGATTTACCTGTTAAAAAACAAACACACATGCTGACTGAACTGTAGGTTGAAGTAAACATTTTAAGACAAAGCTCCGAATCAGTGAGTTTTATTCTCCTGCGAAGGACTATGAAAGTTGGAAGTTTCACATTTCACAAACTTGGATTTTTCTTGTGTTGATTTTTTTCTGAAAACAAACATACACCGAAACAAGCACGTAGGTTTTTATCCCAGTTTAAACAGTATCATAGTAGTTTTTTCTTTGCACATGGTGTTTTCTTTTTATATATTTTCGGGCTGCTGTTCGAAAGGTCCAGGGTTCGAGACGTGATGCCATTGAACTTACTCCGCACTTTCAGCCGTGGATGAATTATACAAGTGACAGTCTATCCTGTTATTTGTTTAAGATAGCCAGACAAATCGTTTGTAGAAGTAAGTGCTGCTGGCTAGCTACCTTCCTTTTTGTCATTAGTCCAAAATTACCGGGGTCTCTTACCTGATTTAAAAGGTTCACACAGTATCCTGATCACAGCAATAACTAGAATTGCAATTTTTGAGTTGTGTCTTAAAACTGGTCCGGCATGGCCAGGTGGTTAGGGCGCTCGACTCGCAATCTGTGGGTTGCGAGTTCAAATCTTCGTCACGCCAAACATGGTCACCATTTTAGCCGTGGGGGCGTTGTAATATAAAGGTCAATCCCACTATTCGTTGGTAAAAGAGTAGCCCAAGAGTTGGCGGTGGGTGGTGATGACTACCTCCTTTCCCTCTAGTCTTACAATGCTAAATTAGGGAAGGCTAGCGCAGATAACCCTCGTGTACCTTTACGCGAAATCCATAACAAATAGTGTCTTAAAATATCAAAAATATTTTATAGTTTATTGTCATTAACATAAAGCTGAACCTTTTGGTTGATTTTGCAGATTTAAGACGATTCTTGTTGCGAAACTAAATTAAGTTTCAAAAATAGCTCAAAGTAATCTAAAATTGTGTCGCGTATATAGAAAATGATATGAAAAATATCTTTAATAATTTAGGAATTCTAATCGTATAACCATACTCCGTTCTCAACTTTTTTTTTTTATATGTTTGACAGCGTTTGTGCAAATAATTCATTGATAATCAAACAAACGACCAATGTGCTTGGGTATAAACCAAAATATAAATCAAACGAGATTAAAAGACAAAAAATGAGAAAAGAGAAAACTTCTTGCAAAAGTTAAATCAAACAAGTTATATGAAAACGAATTTTTCTTGTTCAAAAGTAAGTGGTGTGGCGACATGAAAAATGACCGTTGTGGTATATGTTTTAAGTGCTGATCACAGTCCGTGATATTTTAATAAATGCTACAAGAGGATAAATTCGTGCCTCGCATATAATGTACGTGCTAAAATTATTTGCTTACTGAAACAATGTTTTGGGAAAAAAAATTAAAAAGTATATAGAAGCCATTGAATTCTCGACCTCCCGCATACGAAGCGTGTGCTGTGCCATATGAACCAAAGCCCAATGATTTTTTCACAAATGGAATACTATAAAAATGAGAAGGGTATATGTTTTAAATACCTAAATCATTCAAATAATGCTGTTGTTGTATTATGTAGTTGGACATGAATGAAACAAATACCTACTAAGCAGAATATGGAGTTATTGTATTTAGATTTAAAGTAAAGAAGTGGGAAATACGAAATGACTAAAACGAAATAAATCTCTGTACACAAAATCTTTTGTACAAATACTTTGTCTTTGTGGACAACAGTCATCTCTGGTTAAGATCTTGAGATTTGTTTTTGATTGAACTCTTTATAAAGTTACGTTATAAAATAATGAGTTTTTAAAATCATAGGATCAAGAAGTGAAAAAATCAAGTGTCTTCGTTTTTTGCTATTTCACTTTTTCTTCTTCCTTCCATAATGGTATCAACTCTTCTTTTTTTACTCTCTCCTAAGGTATCTGCAAAGGTCGACTACTACCAATAACGGAAATAGTGTAATAATGTATTCCCCTAGCGAGTAAACTTGTTCTTCGCGTATGAAGCGTATTTTTCATCTAGGCCTGTTGGTATTTATATAATTGCTTATAAGCCACGGAAAGGTAAATAATTAACTTAGTATGTTTTCCAGCGTGTTTATTTATGTTACCCAAGTAACTGTCTTTAATGTTTAAGTGTCGTAGTTTTGGCCTCGTAGAGAGCAATGTATTTTGCACTCGTATAAACTTAAAAGTACCACTTTATAATTAGCCAGTAGGAATAGTAGGTTTCCGTGTGAGCTAGCACGCATACACGCACGGATTGACTAACACACATTGTTCTTTTAATTACATAGATTCAAGAGTAAGGCAGAGAAAGACAATACTTATTAAGACATCCTCGTAAGTTGATGTCCAGACATTGAATGCGTAGTGAGGAATTAATACGTTAATAATATATCTTTTTAAAGGTAGTTTACCTTAAGCCACATCTGTTAAAAAATGTAGATGTAATTTAGAGATCTTGACCGAAGAGATTTGTACAACAGGATTTTATTTTCTAGTTGTTTTTGTTTTGACTTTATCTTGGTTTTATGCTGTTCTTGGACAGTCGTATTTTGTATTGATATCACCCTGCTTTACGTTAAAGATTTTCTGGACGGTCTGATTCGATGTTGATAGCACACTACTTTATGTCAAAGTGTTTCTGGACAGTCTTGTTTTACATTGAAAGCACACTGAACGGTCTTATTCTATGTTCATAGCACACTGCTTTATGTCAAAGTGTTTCTGGACAGTCTTTTATTTTGATAAGCACGCTGCTTTATGTCAAAGTTTCTAGACAGTCTTGTTATATATTAATAGCACGCTGTTTTATGTCAAAGTTTCTGGGCAGTCTTGTTTTATATTGATAGCACATTGCTTCATGTCAAAGTTTCTGGACGGTCTTACTCTATGTTTATAGCACACTGCTTTATGTCAAAGTGGTTTCGAGCAATCTTGTTTATTGTAGATTCTGAGAAGTGGAACGTAAATATTTAAGAGACTTTTGAAACCTCGAATGCCTATTTTTTATTTTTTGTTGAAAATATAATATTTATTAAAATACTTATTTAATTCTCTTATTGATATGAACTGTCGATAAGCAGTGAATCTTTGCATATTAAAATAGTTTTACCCTTGCTATGCAGAATAGCCCATCTACACAATCGTTCAGTGTTTCCTATGCATTGAAACTGACATAAGATACATTTAATTAAAATTTTTCTTGCCAGCATTTGAAAATCCAAAAATATTGAAAATGTAGACATGATAGGTCCATATTTTAAATGACATAATCGGTTTAACAGAATGAATCTAAACGGAAAGTGATTAATTCAACATCATATCAGTGTTTGAGGGTAGCAGTAGTAAGAAAAAATTGGCAAATATTCAATTTCTGTCGCAAACTAATTATTTGTCCTGAAATCATCGACTCTGTGCCAAAACAAAATGATACACAGTCATTTACACATGCGCATCATACCAAGGCCTAAGTGGGAATGTAATATATTTACATAGCCGTACATTAGAAGTGACAAAGGTTATCGTGTACTTCTGTTTGCTTCTGACGTTATTCATAGAAGTATTTATGAAAATATTTACTTGTTAGGTTACCAATCTCCGTTGATAAGAATGTTCTCATAAAAACAGATGGATGGAAATTTAGATTCGAGGGAAAGACACCTTCCGGAGGTTCTATTTTCTAAGTAGTTTCCTGATTCAGGTGATTAAAGGTAAGATGCTTGTGTTCGTTTCCAGCTATCTAGTCTGTATGTTTATTTTAATACTTTATGCTCTACAGGTAGAAAATTTATCCACCATTTTTAGAGTTTATTTCGCTATTAAAAACACACACACTCATTGGGAAGAATTGCCCAAAAATTATAACAATACTTACAACATTAACTTTCTCATACAACAACAGTATCACAGTGCTATTTTATAGTATCATTTACTTGGGATACACATTTGGTACTTTTAACTTATAACGTAGGCTTTGGCCCATGCCAGGTTTCATCAAGCTCATGAACCACTTGTAGAGAAATCTTCAGTTTTCTAAAGAACATCTTGAATGTTTCGTGTATCATGAATAAAAATGACCACAGAAACACTAACTTATGCGTCTTCATCTGTTAGCTAGTTCAACCAAGGCGTCTTAGCTGTACTGAGATGTAGCACATCAAGTCTTATTACGTCACAAGTTCCACACAACGACCACCTGAGGATTGCTTCGTTATATGCCTTGTCCGCCCACTCTACGTCGAGTTTATTACAGATAGTAAAGTAGGTCTAGACTCGAGAGAATGCATGCACTATTGCAGAGTCTTTCATGTCTGTTCTATTATATTTTACCATAATATTAATAAAACAAGCAGAACATTACAAGTCATGCATTTCTTCAGAAACTAAAGTTAGAAAAGTATACTAAAACTAAACAAGTGTTCATAAAGATAACTGTGATGTAAGACATGGTTTCCAAACTGGGGTTTGTGGACCAAAAAGGATCCGGAAGATGGTCTGAAGGGAAACTCTGCACATCTAAAAATGTATTTGTATGTATTCCTTGACACCAAACAAAGCATTATTTTCAACGACAATTTTATTTATTGAAATAAACATGACTACATAACATTGCTTTTGTGAATTTTTTCAACAACAAATAATCAAACAAAAAACTAAGTACAATGAAAGTAAGGCATCTCACAGTAGTTATAATTGAAACATTGTATGGAGTATTTAGGTGGGAGGTCTTCTTCAGGATGTCTAAGGTTTTGGGGTATCTCAAGCTAAAAGGTTTGGAAATATCTGTAGTAGTGCATGACGATATAAACGCGTGGATGGAGAACCTATCAATCCTTTCCCCAAATTTTACAAACATTAGGCAAGGAATAAATAAATAAATATGTGTCAACTAAGTTTCAAGGAAGTATGTGTTATAAAATATTGTGTACATTTATACACAAAAATAATACTGAAACATTAATATATTCGCAAATTCTCAGTATTTTAAACTATCAACGGCTAATAAAGAATATATTAATTGCAAGTTCAAAGCATTAGATAATTATATTTGTCAGTAATTTTGTTTTTATGGGACTAGATTTGTATTTCCTTATATGACCTTGACTTGCAAATTCTGTATGGTTAAATTTTGAAGGTCAAAAACATTAAATACCTTGCAAAACCGGTTGGGCGTAACATGTTTGGACTGTGAATCCAAGAGTTCAAGGCTCGCGTCCGGTTGCCGTAATAACTTGCTCTACATTTATGCTTTAAGAGTGAGGGTAATACTCAAATATTCGGTTAGACAAGAGTAACTCAGGATTTGGCAGTGGGTGCTGTTGCTAGTTCAAAAGTAAGTTATGCGCAGGTAGCCATTGTGTAGTTTTGAGTAAAACTCTGAAACAAACAAAGAAAAAAAACTTGAAAAAACCCACACTATTTCAAAAACTCTAAATGAAGAAAATCAGATTATAGCCAGTAGATAAGGATAACAGACTGCGTTGTTAGAACTGTTTTATATTTATTTTCATACTCATAACGTATTCCTCATTTAGAATTTTTGGAATAACGTAGTTTTTTTTTCTTAAAATTAATGGTTTAGAACTTTCAAATCTCATCACATAGAATTTGTAAACCAGAATCATATAAAGAACAACAACAGTTTTTGAAAGATGAGATTACTTATAAATATATGTTAGGTATTTATTTGAACTTGCAATTAAAATATTCTATATTAGCAGTTGAAGATGAGACTCTGTTTCTAAGTTGGATTTTCTCTATTTTACATTTTAATAAATTAATTAAAATATTTATTTAATTTTCACTGGTAAGATACGCAGTAACTAAAAACCTTTATTTTTTCCTATTATCTGTTCTAACACTAATTGCTCCAAGCATTCCGGCATGTGTTTCGTAGTAATACCTATTACCTTATAACTGCATAACACAAAATGTTACTGATAAATTATTACTGTAGTAATCCAACTTCCGTTGTCTCTAAGTATATAAAACAAAATAACAGAAAATTCATTGTTGCACAGAACCTTTATCGCTCTTTACTTAGAACAATATAATACAAGAGGTTTATCTCTTTTAACTTGCTGGAGTTTTATAGAGTTGGATTCAGTCGAAAGCGACAAACCAGTAAAGAAATGATTAAACTAAGTCCACGTTTTTGCAGCAATTTACTTTTTAGTCCTAAGCAGATTTTTTTAAACACAGAAAACTCTCTGTAGCGATAGGTTTAAGAAAACAGACTGAGAACGTCATTTCTTTAAATCTCCAAATTGCAAAGCAAATTTACCAATTCTCTTTTTTTTCCTTTTTTTCAAACTCTACAAACCATTATTATTTAGTTTCGTTTACTCTTAAAAATAATAGATATAAATCATTATTATATAAATCTTGTATTGGTTGCCTCCATATTATTTAAACCAAGATGCTTTCGTTGAGCCCGATGAGACAAAGGCCTCACTAACATTATGCGCATATTTTTTTTTTATGACGAGTGCAAATTCAAAAATAAAAGTCAATTTAATACCAAACTGATATATATAATTTAATTGTCATTCCATTGATTATGAAATTTTTTTTATTGTGGTTTTATTCATGGTAAAAACTATCTGCCGCCGTCCCTAATTTTTGAATTGCTGATCAGAAGGAAGGAAACTAGTCAGCAGCACTCTACCACCCACAATCTATGCTAAAAGTTTGACAGACACTTTTATAAAGCTTAATGTGCGGGAAATATTTTGTGATATCGCACGGATTCGAAAAATGTTCGCCAATACGAAAATTCATAGCGGTATCACAGTGCCAAATTGTGCCCTTTATGTACAGAAATAGCGTGTAAACAGCAGTTTATAAAATAAGTACAACTGGATCGCAATTACAGCAATATTCAATTATACAAACATTACATATAAATTTTTAAGCAAGTTAATTGTCAGAAAATGTTAGGACTAGTAGTTAATTCACAACCATTAAAATTTTGAATATTTATAGTTAAGCAAAACTTTGAGACACATTCAAATATATTAAAGTAGTAAAGTTTGAATAAATACAGCTTTAACGTTGTGTGCTTTGTTTAAATACCTCCAACAATATTATGAACAATAAGAAAATACGATACTTTTTTATGTCTGTTTGTAGTTAAGCACAAAGCTACACAATAGGCTATCTGTGCTCTGCCCACCACGGGTATCGAAACCTGGTTTCTAGCGTTTTAAGTCCACAGACATACCGTTGAGCCACTGGCTATTAGATAAATAAATGTTTGCAAAAGTCAACAACAGGAAATTAAAACTAACTAGAATTATTTAACTACTAACTGACGTACACATTCAACGAAAGGAAAAGGAATAAGGACCCGCTGGGGTGACGTTGAGGTCAGATCCTAACTTTGATCCTTATGATACTCCTCGGGGGTTCCTGAGATACATTTCAGGTTTGGTGGCAATAGGCCTAGCGATTCTGCAGATATATACACACAGACTTTTGTCAAATAATGAACTTACATATTAGTAAGTATTATACTTTAGGAAATTTCTAGACTTTGTTGTGTTTTGAAAACATTAAAATTTAATGAATAATTATAAAAAGATAAGCCATTTTATATCATTATTACAACATTGTTATAAAAGCATGTTTTTTTTAAGATTAAGAATTATACACTTGAAAAATATCTGTAGACGTTGTAACTCTAAATTTAAAACATAGCTTTTACTACAATACAAGTTTAAATTAAACCAGATAAATAATTAGTCAATCAAAATATATTATTTTCCTACATAGAAAATTGAGCCTTAATATAATACTGAAATTGTAAACTGTTATGTTTTTTAATTTTATTTTCGGTTTTTCTAATTAGAACTATAGAACAAACAAGGAAAATTTGTTTGCAGTTAAGCATAAAGCTACACAATTGCCCACCACGATGTAAGTCTGCAGACATACCGCTGTGCCACTGGAGGCACAAGGAAGAGAAAAAAAAGAATCATTCATAGCCAGTAAAATCTATTGAAATATTTTAAAACCTTAATAAATTAATGAAAAATCATAAAGTATGTTATGTTAGTGAAAATTAAAGCAAGTTGATAGTAATCAAGTGAACATGTCTGTATTTAAGACTGTTGAAAAGTGTGCTTTAGATCCTTTATCAACTTTATCTGAGAAGTGCCACTGAAGATGTCACGTATTTGCCATCGAAGGGCTACTTGATCCATTCAGTTACAGAGCACATCATCTTTTTGACTATGAAAAAGTGAATACCCTGTCCAAAAAGTTGCAGCTTGCTTTACTGTCATAGTCAGCACCATAAGAAAATGGTCAACAGTATCAAAACACTTGGGAACACAAACACCCAAAGTACGTTACTCAACATCAATGTATATGGGTTTTGTAGTCCCTGCGTAGTTTTTTATAACTGAAAAAATTATCAATTAAAGCCTTTCAGAATTCTCTGACTGGAAGAATGCCATTACAAGTCAAGGTAGTAGATATAAGAAACACAGGACTCATGTTCACAGAAGTTGGCTATGACCAGTCACAGGAATTTCTTCATGTGGTAGAAAAAGGGAATAAAGGTGCCAAGCAAACTCTAAACCAGGCTTAGCTGACAAAATTTGGCGAAGTAGGGAAATTCTACTCTCCATAATTGACATTATTTTGGTTCTGGGAAAGCTTGGAGCTCAACTTCGAGGAGCTTGGAAGTAATAGGTAGCAATGTAGCAACTAGAAGCAATCAGGACTATGACGATAGCAGCAATTTGAATTGTGAAAAGCAAGTTTTGCATCATCACATACAATATTCTGATGACATTTAGTTGTCTTCGCAGAGCTAAAATGAATTTATCAACTATGCTGCAAATGAAGCACGAGAAAACTTTGTGAAAACCAGTTAATCAACATCGTGGCGGACGAAACAAGAGAAGCAGAAACAAAAGAGGAAATATCTGTATGTGTATCCTTAGGTATTTCAAGCTGTCCATTAAGAGAGTCTACTCTTAATGGACAGCGTGAAATATCTAAGGATTTTTAAGGATTTACTGAAGTACCCAGAAGTGATATCGAAGGTATTATAAGCAACTAATTGAACGTCTTAAGATTTGTTTGTTTGTTTATTGAATTTCGCGCAAAGATACTCCAAGGCTATCTGCGCTAGCCGTTTCTAATTTTGAAATGATAGGCTGAGGGTAGATAGCTAGTCAACACCACTCATAGAAAATTTCTGAGCTACTCTACATCAACGAAGACTAGGATTAATCGTTACAATATAACTCCTACACGGTTGAAAGGGCGAGAATGTTCGGTGATGGGATTCAAATCCGTAACCCGCAGATTGCGAGTCGAGCGCCAAACTACCGGTCCATCCAAAGTCTTCACTGGAAACGTATCTGATTTCGCTAGAAAGTTGATTAAACTGTCAAAAACTTATTTTTCAACTAAATTTGAAAACTGGCACAAAATATATGTTCACTAATAATTTATTATTGAAATCCAAGATTCACTTTATTCAAATGTTTTTGATATCAAATAAATAATTACACGAATTTGGGACTACCGTTTTTTTTTATGGAACAGTGCAAACGTCTTAGGAAATAAAGATGAAAGAGATTCAATGGATGGAGGGTATTTGGGGTTTAAAAAAAGATTACCGAATTTTATCCGAATGCGAAGTATGTAACTCACTTTGCCAGTCATCGACTGAATATAGATCTTGTGATAACATTCAGTATTGTACAGGACATGAAATTTCACGGACACTTTTTGGACAAATGAGCCTTTTCATGGTTGGAAGTGCAGAATGTTTACTGACCCACTTGATGAATAAGAGGAGAATATGCTGGGAATTATCGTGGGCGACAAGCATCACAACTCTATGTACAATTGTTTTTTCTCAAGAGTGGACTCAGTTTTTAAATCTTTTTTTGAGCAGCTGCAACAACAACAAAAACACACACACAAACTGAACAGCTATAACAAGAGATAAACGCTGAATCAACTAAGTAGACCACCACTAGAGATGCCGTTTTATGCATTCATTCCATCACTTAATTTAGCTTCATTGTTTATGCTGTGTCTCCAACTATTTGCTAGGGTTTATTCTTCTTTGTCTTTAGATCTTCAAACTAGGCAGCACGACTTGATGAAAACACAAACCAATGTCTAAGAACTGATGAAGACTTTTAAAAAGGTAATATTATCAGATAAGTGTTGGTGAATTTTCCAGACAATTGACGACAAAATGATGTAAGGGTTTCAGTATGACAGACAGCATTGAGATCTATTATATAATTAATTCCCATTATTATTTTGCTGATGATATCGTGTTTTAACGTCAGAAGAGATTTCCTTTTGATAATGATGTATACATCTGTTTTTTAATAATTCCTGACAGACAACATCAGTTCTATAAGGAAAAAATGAAGACACCATTCACAGAGGACATGCCAGTTACTGCCTAATGTGAACGTGAAATGATTTGATGTATTGATTATTCTTAAATAACAATATTTTTCAGTTATGTAATACCGTGTTCGTATAGCTGTAAGCAATCTAAATTGTACAAGAAAATGAAAGAAATTTTAATTGCGGTCAGATTTCAGAAATCAATAAGCAGAAACTTCAGATTATAAATACATTATTGTGGCCTTATTGATCTTTTCTATATCTTCATCATAGAGTTTCTAAATAAGTAATGTAACTATCAATATTCCTGTTAACATAACATATTGTATTTATTGACATGGGTAGTTTGTTGGCATGGAGGGTTACATCAACACGAAAGTTTGTTTGTTTAATTTCGCGCAACGCTACTCCAGGGCTTTTTGCGCTTGCCGTCACTACTTTTAGAAGTGATATATTAGAATGAATGCAGCTAGTGAACACTATCCATTACCAGGTCTTTGGATAGTCTAACCGAATAATGGGATTGGCTTACACATTATAACGCTCCCAAGGCTGATAGAATGAGAATGTTCGGTGACGAATTTCGATTCCGTGACCCGCAGATTGCGAGTCCAGTGCTCTAATCTCCAGACCACGCTATGCTCCATTAATGTGTGACGAGAGATTTCCATAAAGTTCCAGCTATGCTGGACCTGTTGCTTACCTTGTCAATTGTTCATCCGAATTCTAATCTAAAAAATATAATATCTGCTACCCAATCCCGAAATAATGTGACAAGTGATCCTTCAAATAACTCCTGTAGCTTATTTTTATTTAATTGCACTTCATTTTGATTCATCTATTATTACTTAACGCTTGTATTCACAATGTTGTATATGTTCGAGGTTTTAACATGTATAATATTTTTCTTTTCTTGTACTTAATGATGAAACTTTTTTCTTCTCATTTAATTGTTGACATCTCGTAAAGCAGTGAATATTGAAATTGTTGACATCCAGTTCGCAGCTGAAACACAACTTTCAAATTTTGATCAGGTATCATAAACCAGACTGTAGTAAGAAACAAACAAATTATAAATTGTGATCGTCAAGTTTCATTTCGCTTTGACTGTGCGTTGTCTAATGGTTAGCGTGCCGAGCTGTCAATCAAAGGGTCCAAGGTTGAAAATTTAATGCCCCTGAATACGCTTCACACTTTCAGCAATGGACGCTTTGTAAAAGTGGCAGTCAATCCGTTATTTGGTTTAAAGAGTCAGCCAAAGCCCTTGTGGTGTCATTACCTGCTGGTTGGCTCCCCTCCTTGTTGTCACTAGTTCAATATTAGGGACAACTATACATGAATCTTAGCGGTCTCTTGCTTGGCCGTCCAGGTTGAGAATTTTAAATCATAATGAGCAATAAAACCAATGAAATATATTTTAAAACACTAAACTAAAATTATGATAACATTTTGTTCTACAAACTGTTATGATACATCTGAATAGTTGTAAGAATTAAAGAAATATGTAATAGCACAAGCCATATGCAGTTATGCTGCACTTTATTAACTCACATATAAAATACCTACGGCCGATGAAGGTGTTTTGAAGAAATCTTATAATGTTATTTTACCTTTACTGTTTTTTTATTTGCATATCAAAGTTCTAATATTACGTCATGAAGACATTTTATGACGTAACGATATGTCATGTAAACATGGTATTACGACCTAGAGAGTAAAATCTCAGGGGAAAACATGACACTTGTAGCTCAAACATGATGACTCTAGTTGTTGTCTCAAAGTAATTTTCGCTCTCACGAGTAAACTAGCGATTCACCTTGTGTTCATTAAAATCATTGCATACCAATGTAAAGTTTTTTATTATTTTATTAGTGATTGGGCTTGTCAAATATTGGTAAAAACAGTAACTTAAGTTTACTATAATATCTAGTACAACTTCGAATGTACTCAAAATATTTAGATTAAAAAACAAAAAGCTGGAATGTTTCACAAAATTCTTGTCCATCATATCATAAATAATTTCCAACCCAGACAAAGAATTTTATGTTCAGAAAGACAATGTATTCGAGAGTGAGAACGGATATCTTGTTCATTTGATAATTGAAACAGGATTTGGAGGAATGAAAAATCATTTCTCTGCAGTTCGTGAAAGTAAAACAAAAGATATGTAAAAGACACAACACAAAAATTAGTAAAAAAAAGTTACCGCTCTAAGAAAGCCTCATATTTCTGCTGCCCAATCATGACACACCAACACGACTAACAACATGGTGGACCGAACGTTCGACAGAACATCCAATTTGAAGCTGGCAGTGCGAGTTAAACTAGGACTCAGGATTTTTTATTGTTTGTGGAAATGTTTGAATTTCTGCCGAACGATCGTCAAAGAGACCCGTGAACATTAACTAAATAATTCTTCCTCACTTACAGAAATTTTCTTTTGCATTTTCATATTATATGAGCTCATAAAAAATAATTGATTGCCACTTTTTTTTTAGCTGCACACGCATCTATATTTGGTGGAAATTGCAGTAAAATCACTTTTATTAATTGTTTTTACTGAAATATGTAGTAAAAGATTCCTTACTAGTTGCTTTCATTATAACTTGCAGTAAAATTGCATTTGTCTCCCGGTAGACTTACTATGCTAGAATCCGAGGTTCGATTCCCCGCTGTATATACAGCAGATAGCCTAATGTGGCTTTGCTCTAAAAAACAAACAAAATTGCATTTACTTATAGTTTCTTTGAAATATCAAGCAGAAGTTTCTTTATTAACTGTTTTTACTGGAGCCTGCAATAAAATGTTCTTAACTGTTTTAACCAGAATTTGCAGTTGAAATTTCTTTATAAGCTGTTTTTGACTGGAAATTGTAGTTGAAATTTTCTACATTAACTTGTTTATTGAAACCTGAAAAATAATTTTATGTATTAGTTGTTTTTACTAGAACTTATAAATTATTGTTTCATCAATATTTAGTAAGTCAATTAAAGCTGTTTTATATTTTTACTTTCAGACCTCAAAATACACAGGGACAAAAATGATTCCGAATCTAAGTCAATACTTCCACTTTTTGAATGATTCTATGGACGAGAATGAAAATTACAAAACAACAACAGAAAAAACGTTATAGGCTGCGATCTACATATTAGCAAGTGAATTTATCATTGGCGTTTAATAATAATTCCTATAGTATAACAAACATTTCTTCCAACATTCTAAAATAATGCATTCTGTAAAATTCATAGATCAGCATCACGTTTTCTCGTTGAATAATATATGTATATAAAACTCCAGCGCTTTAGCCTTGAGGAAGACAGGCTTACGTATTGAAAGCGCTGTTATTTGTTTTCTTTTTAAAGTAATTCACCAACTTTTCTAATCCGACGTACATAAATTGATTGTCTCTGAAAAATTTCCTTCAGACGTTGGAAACTGACAATCAGGCAAAAGTATGAGCAAAATAATCCAGCACGGTGCTCTAAAGGACAATCTTATCTTACGTATTAAAACAAAAATTTTCTTAAACATAAATCAGTGCAAGATTAATACCAGACTACATCTAACTGAAACCTACTTTGCAAAATCTCTACAGAATTCAGTAGCTCAACCAACAACTTTTCTTGAATCTAGATTTCGGCCGATTCTTAATCCAACAACTGATCAAAAAAGTGTTATTTCTATTTACATCTTGTTCTTTCATCTTTACATCGATTAATATTATTATGTATAATTATTTAATGCTAGATGAATATTAAAGGCATTAAGAATGTAGTAAAACATGCTTGAGGTTCAAAAGATAAAATCACTCCTTGTTGAAAAAAAATCACGTGCATTTTTGACGTGGAGTAATAGAAAAAAGGTTTAATGGAAGAAAGCTGTTATCGTAGGCCGTTGTTTCTAACGTAGAACCTTTTACTCATAACAAGCTTTGAAGTTGTTTCTGGGAACATCTTCCTATCCATGTTTGCAAATTATTATATTACTCCCAATGAAATTGTACAAGAATTGCCTTTCTAGGGTTGTTGAGTATTTAAAGTAAACAAGCCAAAGACTATAATTATACATTAGTAAACTAAGCCACGCAGTTAGAGGACAGAGAGACTGTTTACCAAACTGAAGGTCGTTAATCTGTTTCACGCATGCGTATATGTATATATAGGAGGAGGGAGCGGGGAGCTTGTGTGAGAGATACTTATATAACATTGAATAGAGAGGAATAAACAACGAAACTAATTGAGTTAAAGACCGGTATACATCATTCTTAGTATTACATAATATTGTTCACTCATACACACATTAAACAAAATTCAATCTGAGAAAGTTGTATGTTTCAGTGCATTGGCTTTTCATTGTTCTGAAAATAATAGATTATTTTAGAGAGATTTTCCTCGCGAACCGCATTGTCTCAGATAGGCAGAGATTCTCAGAAACTTTTGTCTCCTGGGAGTGATTTCTAATTGATAAACATGCAGAAATACAAAGCAGAAAAGAGTGTATCTTAAGGCAACAGTAGTAGATACAGTTTGTACAGCTACTTGTAATGGATTATGTGTGGATTACTTGGATTGCTCATCAAATTAAGCCTTAGAGACAATAAAAGTCCTTTATATAGAAGAGGGAGAAACAGCACGAAAGCAAACATCCAAGTAAGACCTTAATGCCATTACTTTAAAAAAAAGTCTGCAAATTTTATGATTTTCAAAGATATCTTAACAAGATCAACATCTCCTGGGTAACTTTTACACCAAGTTGCTTTGTTATAAGAATATCTGATATCAAACAATGATGAACATACGTAACGCTCAGGCTAAAAGGCTTAGACTCATTTTCTCCTTTACAAGACTAGTTTAACTTGTTACAAAAATTCTCAGAGGTAAACATTACCCTGATATTATAAATTTAGTGTTCCACAATAGCAGGTACTTATAAATGTTTTACTTTTTTTAAAAAATAAAATAAAAATCCGTTTCTTTTTAAATATATGAATGAGAGTATTGCGACTCTCTTTTAGTGATCTTGTTATGATTTCACATTGGAAATTGGATCATACTGTACCGAGAGATAACTCATATTGAACTAAGCTAAGCGTGAAAAGTCTATACATTTTTATGAAATTTCTAAAGTGCACTCCTTCCTATTCTGGTTAAGTTGAAATAAGAGAATTATATTATAAGAGAAATAACAATTGGTGATTCTGACAATATTTTTTCTTTGTATTGAACTATAACAAATTTGCTTTTTATGGCGTTGAGAGAAATCACAAAATGTCATGACATATTTAGTTCATAAACACTGTATTTTGTAATTCATTATCATTTCAATTAATTAAATAGATATCCCAAAAAAAGTATTCCAGTGTCTTGTTTGTTCTACTTCCACAGAAACTTACTTATAACGATTGCTATGGATTACTAGTTGTGGTAAAGTTATAGGGATGCGACTTAATAGTCACAAATATTGAAGTATTGACATATAACTAATCATATAGTTTTTCCCCACAGACGCGTTCTACAATTATAGTAAAGACAATACTGGTATATAAACTTGAACGACACTTTATGCGATACATCTGCTAAATGGGCAGGTCAGAGATCAACAAACTTCAGACATTATCATCTTTAATTTATAACCGCTGACAAGAGGGAGGATTTTGTGGTTTTTCTTTAGCGCAAAACCAAATTGGACTATCTGCTGCGTTCGCTGCGGGGAATCGAGTCTCGGATTTTAGCGTGGTAAGTTCGTAAACTCCCCACTGACCCAGAGAAGGAAAAGAAGGAGGCAACCAGTCAAGAGCACTCGCCTTATATACAGCTACCATTAACCGAATAACTTGATTCACCGTCACGGTTACAATGTTCATCGCCATATCGCGGCTCGAACCTTAGGCTTTTCTATCTTGAATCCTGCACGATAACCGTTAAATCACACCCACTATCTAAAATAAAACTTTCTATATACGGACACGAAAAACTACTCATATAAACTTATTAAAATTATTATGTGGTATTTTATAAAAATAGAAGTTTTTTTTTACGTTAGTTTATAATAAATATTGCAATATTGGTAATAACTTGCATATTTTAATTTTTTCAGCGTTTTATTCTGTAAAAATTACATGTCGTACAAATGATATGACCTAGCTAAAATATTCCACTTATTTAAAATATCATCAAGTCTGAATATTTTTTTAATTAAATCAGAGCCAAGAATATGACCAGATTTAAATGTTGTATTGAATTAGATTATAGTTAAGCTTTTTCTTTATTATTTACAATAGGATCAAGTCTTAATTTTATTTTAAATTATATCACAATCCTGTTAAACTATTTTATTATGTAGAATGTGACCAGGTCTGAATGTTTTATTAATTTAGATAATAACCGAGTTTAAAATAACGTTTGGTTTTGATATGACTGAGCTGTGATGATTTATTTATTTATGATATGACTGAGTTGGGATAATATACTTACCTAGGATATGAATGAGCTGATGACCTTTTTATTTAGTATAATACTGTGTTCGGATAATACATTTAATTACGACATGACTGAACTGGAAAATTGCATTTATTTAGAATTAGGATTTGTTGACATTTAAAGTGAAGGGGTTGATTTTGACAACGTGTTAATATATTTTGATAACTAGAAGGATTGCTCATCATCCAAGGTAACTTGGTTGGATTAAACTGAATCTAGTGTAACTTTATGGATTAATGTAAAACCTAATGTATCCAGTTGGATCAAGCTAAATCCAAGGCAATTAATGCGATTAATTCTAAATAAAAGTAAGGTTCATGGGTTAAACCAAATCCAGTGTAACTGGTTAAATTAAAGTAAAACCAGTGTAGCTTGGTGGATTCAGGTTAACCAGTTATGAAAACATACGATTGCATATTCAACGTTACTTTTCTTTGTGCACTTTCAGGCCCATTTAGGACTATTATAACAATTTTAGACTTTCCAGGTTCATGTAGGACTATTATAACGATTTTAAATGCAAGAGGAAGGCCTCAGCTCTAGACTTCTATACTTAGGGAGATGCAGTCCGTTAAAATCCATAGTTATATTTTAGGGAAACATTGTTAACCTTTATCGATCTAGATTTATTATTTTATATCCCTAAGGAAATCCATGCTCAAGCGGCGTCTCTGAGGCTTAGTGGTGTTCTTTGTTATCGCGAAGTTAGTAAATTAATAGGTGTTTCTACGTAAAAAGGAAATACTACTTTAAGCTGTGGGATAATTTAAAATCAAATTACTTACTATCCAGGCAGATGGAAACCACGAAAACTTCCAATACGGTATATTCTGATTAATTCGATTATTTTTAAACGACGCACGATTCTAAAATTCTATTGAAGACAGTGTACGACATTGTTTTTAAAATATTTAATGGTAAATGTTTTCACGTATCAAGTGGCTTACTTTAACCAAAATATTTCAAAACCTGTTTAACGTTAGCTTTTGTTATGATATATCTTACAAAACTGTTCTTAAATAGACATGTTTTATTAAGCTTTGAAATATGAAAATTATTTAAGAAAAGTTACTATTATGCAGTTCGTTAGATTTGACCAAAATATTTCAAAACCTGTTTAACGTTAGCTTTTGTTATGATATATATCTTACAAAACTGTTCTTAAATAGACATGTTTTATTAAGCTTTGAAATATAAAAATTATTTAAGAAAAGTTACTATTATGCAGTTCGTTAGATTTGAAAGTTTTTATATCCAATCTAGATTAAAGCAATTACAATACTGACTAGATTTGTAATCAAATAATAACTTTGGTGTAATATGTTTCTTCATGAAAGGAGCTTTTAATAAAACATGTAAAATAATGTCTACGTGAACAAACAATTCATATTTACTCACCAGCTCTCTCTGTGATAAAGATTTTATGGGTAAAATAACGACTAACCAAATCTGTTTTCAAGAGTGAACATGATTCGAAATTGTTTCCAATTTTCACGCAAAGCGTAGTCGTCCCACATTTTGAACTGATAGATTATAGAGAAAGCAGCTAGCCAAAAGCACCCACCGCCAACTCGAGGACTATTTTCGTCTCACCGAAAAGTAAAACTTGATCGTTAGTCTCACAGTGCATCCATGAATCCAAAGTGCATTTGCGCATTTTTTGCGCAAATGGACCAGGAACCATGAACCCTCGGATTCATATTCCAGGCAGGTTAATCTCAATACAATAAGGAACATCAGGTATTGATATGACGGTATTTGTTTCTGTAATTTAAATCTTGGTATCAATTTTATTTGAGCTTATTAACCACTAAGCCATGCACGGTCGATGATTTTGAGATTTGGAATGTTTTCCATAATCATATATCTCTTGAAATCTTGAGGCTGATATCTTTGGAAAATATTAAGTCACACAGTTTTTATTTCTTAACTCATCCTGGAAATACGATGAAAACTGGAGATCTTCATTTCCAAGGAACCGATAATCTCTCCGTTGCGGGGATATGAGTTGGTAGGTAGCTACTTTTATGAATGCTGTATACTTTCCGAAAGTAAATCCCTGTATACAAGTTCCGATTCCTTCTTTGGTGCTGCTTTTCTACTGGCTGTAGTGTTGAAAGTTTCAGTGCTT